GGTCAGAGCCGTTGAGCTCGGTAAAGCCGCATTTGACAGCCAGTCTAATAGATTACCCCTAGATTCAATATGAAACTCTTAGTAAAACAAAATAGTGGCTATAATCATGCTGAGTCTGTGTAGTTGTAAAAGTGTTTAATATATGCCGACTCGCGCATATGATCCGCTCCGTGCGATCGTGTCTCTGGACCGGAGCCAAAGTCCGGATCAGACTGTGCGTGCTGCCGCAGTTTGCGTGACACAACGTGAAACCAGACCTCATTTGCACCAATCAAAAGCATTTTTACACTATCTGAATCGTTCCCTATTGCCTACATTGTGCACTACGTGCCATTCACTGTACAGGGAATACTACACTGTGAACAAGCGACCGATCTCAGCCGCAGCTTCAGCGTCTATTTATACTGCAGGGGGCAGTCGCTTCGGCTTCTAGAGAGCGTTTGATTGGTCAGAAGATTTGACGAGAAGATGAAGTATGATGTGACGTCAAAAAAATCATTGAGCCGTTTTGGCGGAAGTGACGAACTGCAAGCTTTGAATGCTTATATCTTCTAAATGCGAATTTTGTCACTGTTTTGAAGCACACTGGCTTATAGATAACCTTAAGACTAACATATTGATACTAACACCCAAAAAACTTTAACTTTGATTTCATGGGGACTTTAGGACCATGCTGCACAATAACTAGCCTGAAAAATAAGCTTTTTTAATGCTATTTGAGAATAAGAAACACATTTTATGAGACACTTGTTGTCATATTTCATTTTTGATTTCAAATTTAATTATAAGCGTGGTGAACAGCTTTGGATAATTCAATATTCCCCATTCAAAGAGATAGGATGACTGAAAGACATAGACGTGCATGACTGAAATAGCTGCAGAAGAGACATTTCAAAGAGGACCGCCGAGTGAAATGATTTGTTTTAAAGGGACTTTGGTAATATAGTCAAGGGTCATTTTGAGTTAAAATATGTTGTTGTAACTTGCGTTACTGAGATTGTAACGAGTAATAATATTACCCAAATTTGATTAGTAATGCGTTATATTACTGCGTTACAGCAAAAAGTAATATACTACTGTAATATTATTACTTTTGTAATGCGTTACTCCCAACACTGTTAGTAATGCATGAAACTGGTGATACTGTTTGTGGAGTTGTTTAATCCTCCTCTGCTGAGATCTTGAGAGATGTAATGTCTTTTATTTGCAGTTGATTTCAGGCTGTGTGGCTTTAAGTCAGTTGTAATTGTGTTTCTTTTTTCTGAGAGTGCAAACATGATGTTGAACCAACATCACATTGTGACATTGATTTAATGCCTGAAATTCCACATTTTTTTCAACATTAATGTTGGTGCAAAAGTGATGTTGATTCAATGCCACTGATTTAACATTGCTTCAGTGGATCAGGGAATGCACTGTTTCTGTGTATGTAAGGTATACTGGCATGGTCATTGCTGGTCACTTATGGTGGTTGTCTGAAGTTTTTGACTGTGAGGAGGTCAGTGGTACTGTCTGGTTAGATCTGGTGATACAGTACATCACTCCTCACATTTCATCTCTGTTCTTGAATAACACTCCCAACTCTGATCTGTGCAGCGTTATGAACAACACTATTGCATGGAAGTGTTATACAGTGAAAATTGTAAAAAGAAAAAAGTTTTGAATACGACTGATAAGACTTCACCTTCTTTTTCTGTGTGTTTCTCTGCCGTCTCTGTCTCAGAGTTTTTTTGTGGCTCTGTGAGGAAAGAGAAAAAGAACAGAAGTAAAAAAATATGTGACAAGCAATACAGATACATGAAGGAAAATACTGTAAAATATGTCTGTTTATTAACAATATGACCATAAATGAGAGATTGTAATATTTAGAGGTCTCTCACAGCCCTCCCTGTTATTCTCCACCTGAATGTATTATGAGCCACCATTCAGTTCCCTTATGTTCAGTCACCATTTTGCACTGAATAGTTCTAGGAACTAGCCAGCATGGTGGTTCCTAGTAGGGGTGTAAATCAGATGGTTCGTCATGATATGATACGATACGATATCGATTCTCATATCCAGTGATACGATATTTGCCGATAATTCAAAAAAATTCTACGATACGGTTTCGATACGATTCAATACAGGAGAATATCGATCAATATTATTATATTATATACCCATTTTAAACAACCATCTACATTTTTAACAAATGCAACCAAAACATATAACATGAAGATTTATCTTAAATGTTCACATCCTGTTCCTCAATTGGGACATTCACAACAAAAAATAGGCCTACACTTTTTTTTTAAATAATAAAGGAAAATAAACAATAGAAAAAAAATAAAAATAATAATAATCAAGTCACACACAAGATCAGTAATCTTAAAATATAACAACAGTCAAGACAGTCTTTCAGGTTTCTGT